CCCCCCCCCCCCCCCCCTCCCCGGGTAGGTTTAGGGTTTAGGGTTTAGGGTTTAGTGTCTAGGGTTTAGGGTTTAGGGTTTGAAATCTTCTACATTTTTTTTGCTTTTAAAAAGGCTGTTAACAACACATGTTTCCTTTCTCTTACCTCCCCGACTTGGCACGCGTGTGCCGACCGTGGGACGGCAAGGGTTTAGGGTTTAGGGTTTAGGGTTTAGTGTTTCTCTCATTTTGAAGGTTTTAAACATCCTATTAAGGTTATTACTTATTTATATAGACGGCAAACCCTTCTCTGTTCCTTTTGCAGGTTTGCCTCCTGTTGAGTCTTTTTGTTTAAACTTAGGGTTTAGGGTTTAGGGTTTAGGGTTTAGGGTTTACGCTTGCTTACTATGGGGAGCCCTTCGTCTCCTAACCTTTATGCATGCATGCGCAGATCCTCTGTGGGTCTTGCTGCTGCTGCTGTTCTTATTGCTGCTCTTTCTGGGACGCAGCAGCATGCAGAGGCCGGTTAGTGTTCCTTCTCTTGCTGCTGCTGCTGTTGCTGCTGTTACTGTTACTGTTGCGGGCGCTGCTGTTGTAACTGCTGCTGCCAGCTGTTGCTGCTGGCGTTGTTGCTGCTGTTGTTGCTGGAGTTTAGCCAGCTGCTTCTCCTGCTGCTACTGCTATCGATGTTTCCACTGTTGCTGCTGCTGTTGCTGCAGGGCCGGCGGGGGCCCTCTTGGGTTCTCTGCAAGCAGGTCCTTTCTTCCTCCGCTCCCCCTCCCAGCAGCAACAGCAGGACCAGCAACAGGAGCAGCAGCAGGAAGGATCCGCTGCTGCAGGTGGTACAGCAGCAACAGGAGCAGCAGGGAGAGGGCTTAAGTTCCCGCTGCTGCAGTCTGTATTCAGCAGCAGCACATCTCCGTTAGGGTTTATTGCTAATGCTATTGAAGGTGACGCATCTAACAAGAGAGACACTCCTGCTGCTGCTGCTGCTGCTGTCCTTAGTGGCCTTTCTGCCGACCCTCCGCTGCTGTGGCCGCAACAGCAGCAGCACAAGGAACAGCAGCAGGAACTGCAGCAGGAGCTGCAGCAGGTACAACAGCAGGCACCGGAGCAAGAACAGCGAGAGCCCCAGCAGCAGCAGCAACAACAGCAGCAGCAGCAGCAGGAGACAGAGACGGAGCTGGTGAACCCTCACCAACAACAGCTACTCGAGCAGGTGCTGCTGCGTCCTGCTGCAGAGGAAATGCTGCAGCAGCAGACTGCACCAAACGCAAGTGCAGCAACACCAACTGCAGCTGCAGCAACTGCATCAGCAGCAATTGCAACAGCAGCAACCCAACCCGTCCCGGTTCTCTCGGGTGCTCCGCTGCAGCAGGTACAGCAGGTAGACGCGCAGCAGCAGCAGCCACTGCAGCAAAACCAGCCACTGCAGCAACACCAGCCACTGCAGCAACAGGCACTGCAACAGCAGCCAGTCCAGCAGCAGCCACTGCAGCAACAGCCACTGCAACAGCAGCCAGTCCAGCAGCAGCCACTGCAGCAACAGGCACTGCAACAGCAGCCAGTCCAGCAACAGCCACTGCAGCAACAGGCACTGCAGCAGCAGCCAGTCAAGCAGCAGCCACTGCCACTGCTGCAGCAGCCACTGCTGCAGCAGCCTCTGCTGCAGCAGCCACTGCTGCAGCAGCCACTGCCGCTGCAGCCACAGCCGCTGCTGCAGGAGAACCTGCTTTGGCAACAACTGACCTCAATGCAGCAGCAAACGCAGCAGCAACAGCAACTGCAGCAGCAGGTGCTGCAGCAGCAGCCATTTGGTTTAGCAGGAGATGCTGCTGCTGCACCCGCTACAGCGACAACAGATCCAACAGCAGCGGCAGCAGCCGCAACAGCAACAACAGCAGCAATAGCTGCAGCTGCAACCCCACAGCAGCAAGATGGGCACCAGGAACACCTGCTGCAAGAGCAACACATGCAGCAGGAGATCGTAGTGCAGCAGCAAGGAGAGCAGCAGCAGCAACACCAACAGCCACAGGGTCCGCTGCAACTTGAGCAGCACTTGCATGAGCATCAGCAAGTAGAGAAACAACAGCAACAGCAGCAGCTGGAGCAGCATCAGCAACAGCAGCAGCTAGAGCAGCAAGAGCAACAGCAGCAGCAGCAGCATCAGGTAGAGCAGCAGCTGCTGCCAAACGCACAGCAGGCAGCCTCACTGCAGCAAGAACTGCTGCAGGACGTCCCAGAGATACCAATAGAGCAGCTGCGGCCGCAGCAGCAGCACCAGCAGCAGGAGCAGCAAGCGCAGCAGCAGCAGGAACAGCAGCAGCAGGAGCAACATGAACATTTGCTGCACCAGACGCCGCTGCAGCAAGAATACTTGCCGCTGCAGCAGCAGCAAGGTCAGCAGCAGCTGCTGCCGCCGCCGACACAGGAGACAGCACAGGAACATCCTGTACAGCAAGCACCACTGCAACAAGAGCAACTGCAGCAGCAAAAGCTGCAGCAGCAGCAACAACAGCAGCAGCAGGCGAGTCAATCAAACACATTGCACCACGAACTGCAGCAGGAACTGCTCCCCTCCGACCTGCTGCAGCAGCAAGGCCAGCAGCAGCCAGTGCAACAGCAACAGCTGCAGCAACAACCGCTGCAGCAACAACCGCTGCAGCAACAACCGCTGCAGCAGCAAGTGGTGCAGCAACAACCGCTGCAGCAACAACCGCTGCAGCAACAACCGCTGCAGCAGCAAGTGGTGCAGCAACAACCGCTGCAGCAACAACCGCTGCAGCAGCAAGTGGTGCAGGAACAACCGCTGCAGCAGCAAGTGGTGCAGGAACAACCGTTGCAGCAGCAAGTGGTGCAGGAACAACCGCTGCAGCAGCAAGTGGTGCAGGAACAACCGCTGCAGCAGCAAGTGGTGCAGGAACAACCACAGCAGCAACAGCCGCTGCAGCAGCAACCGCTGCAGGAGCAGCAGGCGTTGCAGCAATCGCCGTTGCAGCAACAGCCGTTGCAGCAGCTGCTTCTAGAGCAACCGTTGCAGCAACCGCCGCTGCAGCAGCAACCGTTAGAGCAGCAGCAGCCGCTACAGCAGCAGCAGCCGCTACAGCAGCAGCGGCCGCTACAGCAGCAGTCACTACAGCAGCAGCAGCCACTACAGCAGCAAGTCTTAGCGCAGCATCAACTGTTAGAGCAGCAGCAACCGTTAGAGCAGCAGCAGCCGTTGCAGCAGCAGCAGCTACAACAAGAGACGCTACAGCAGCAACCGTTACAACAGCAGCAGTCGTTGCAGCAGCAGCAGCTACAGCAGCAACCGTTAGAGCAGCAGCAGCTGTTGCAGCAGCAGCCGCTACAGCAGCAACCGTTAGAGCAGCAGCAGCCGCTACAGCAGCAACCGTTAGAGCAGCAGCAGCTGTTGCAGCAGCAGCCCCTACAGCACCAGCCTCTACAGCAGCAGCCGCTCCAGCAGATGCAGCTGCAGCAGCCGCTGCAAGAGCAACTGGTGCAGCAGCAGCCGCTGCAGCAGCCACCAGTGCACCAGCAAGTACAGCAGCAGCAACCGCTGCAGCAGCAGCCACTGCAACATCAACAGCAGCACCAGCAAGTTCAGCAGGAACAGCCTCCGCAGCAGCAGGTGCAGCAGGAGCAGCAACAGCAGCAAACCCTGCCATTGCAACCCCTACAACAGCAGCCGTTGCAGCAGCAATCGTTGCAGCAGCAGCCATTGCAACAGCAACTGCAGCAGCAGCAGCCACTACACCAGCCACTGCAGCAGCAACTGCAGCAAACGCTGCACCAGCAGCAGCAACCAATGCAACAGCAGGAGCCACTCCTGCAGCAGCAGCCACTGCAGCAGCAGGAGCCACTTCTGCAGCAGCAGCCACTGCAGCAGCAGCAGCCCCTGCAGCAGCAGCCACTGCAGCAGCAGCAGCCACTGCAGCAGTCATTGAAGCAGCCGCTGCAGCAACCACTGCAGCAGCAGCAGCAATTGCAGCAGCAATTGCAGCAGCAATTGCAGCAGCAATTGCAGCAGCAATTGCAGCAGCAATTGCAGCAGCCATTACAACAGCCATTACAACAACCATTGCAGCAGCCATTGCAACAGCCGTTGCAACAGCCACTGCAGCAGCAACTGCAGCAGCAACTGCAGCAGCAGCCACACTACTCTACCGAAGCGGCGTTACAGCAGCAGCTGCAGCAGCTGCAGGAGCAGCAGCGCTTGATTGCGGAGCAGCAACAACAGCTGCAGATGCTGCAGCAGCAGCAGTCACTGCAGCAGCAGCAGCTGCCGTTTCCTCCGGAGCAGCATGGAGGTATACCGCCGCTGCTGGATAATTCCTATCTTCAGCAGCAGCAGCAGCAGCAACTGCAGCAGCAACAGCAGCAGCAGCTGAAGGGTCCTGAAAGTGTCTTCGATGAAGCTCCTGAGGCCTTGTCTTCTTACCTAGAAATGGCCCCCCTTAAGAATGTCCCTTTGCATGCAACTGGTGCGCTGCAGCAGCAGCAGCAGCCGCAGCAGCAGCCGCAGCCGATTACACCTGAAGCATTATCTGCAGCAGCAGAATGGCATTCGCAGCAGCAGGAGCAGCAAGGTTACCCGCTGCAGCACGTGCTGCAGCAGCAGCTGGTGCAGCAGCACCTTACTCGATCAGGTATGGATATAGCACCTCCTACGATGCCTCCTCTACCATCCCCTGAGGCAGCAGCAGCAGCAGATGCAGCAGCAGCAGCAGCAGCAGGGGGAGGTGAAGGCCCCGGAGGTTTATTAAGGAGGCCCCTAGCAGCAATAGAAAATACAGTTAATCAATTGGGGCCCCTAGTGGGTATACCATTAGGGGGCCCCTCTGCTGATTCAGCAGTAAGAAGTACAGAATCCGTTGGTGGGGCTACCTCTCTCTTAGGGGGGGCCCCCTCCCTCCTAGGAACAACCTCTTTGTTGGGGGCCCCACTTTCAGGGGCCCCAATGGGGGGCCCCCTTGCAGGATTAGCTGCAGGGGAATTACTTTCTGCACCTAATATAATAAATGGTGCAACAAACTTTGCTGCAGCAACAGGAAAGTTAGCAGAGGCAGGAAATAATATAATGAATTCTCTTCCTATGGAGGAAATCATGGAGGCAGCAAAGAATGTACAAAAAGAAGGAATAAAAACGCATGCAGGCATAGATATTGATGATCCTAGTAAGTAGTTATATATATTTACCTCTCATAAACCCTACATAAACCCTAATTTAGGGTTTGTTGTTATACACAGTTATATTAACTTTCTTAGACCCTCATGTAAACCCTCATGTAAACCCTCATCTAAACCCTCATCTAAACCCTCATGTAAACCCTCTAAACCCTCTATACCCACCTAATTAAATCCTTTATACATCATGACTTCTCTAAACCCTAAACTTTGTCATAAACCCTAAACCCTTGGTCTTTGGGGTTTATGATTGTTTAGAGTTTCCGATATTTTGAAATTTCTGGTTTTTTAGGGTTTAGGGTTTAGGGTTTAGGGTTTATGTGTATTTGTTGTGTATAGGAATGAAGCCAGCAGTCCGTTGTGCTGGTGCGGGTATGACGTGCTGTGTACCTGAGGCAGCAGCACCAAAAGATTGGCGACAAAAACCCCCAACATTGAATAATATGCCTGAGACACAAAAGCATTGCAGGGCACACTTTGTACCTATGCAGAATGCTTTATGTGCTACTACTACCTATGAAGTAATACAATTCTTCTTAAGGGTATAGGGTTTAGGGTTTAGGGTTTAGGGTTTAGGGTTTTTGGCGGGGGGGAGAAGGGAGGGGGAGAGGGTGAGGAATAATTTGAGTGGTGATGGGCTTGGGGTTATAAGGGTTTAGGGTTTATTAGGGTTTAGAGTTTATTAGGGTTTAGGGTTTAGGGTTTAGGGTTTAGTGTCTGGATGAGTGTGTGTGTGTGTGTATACCATTAGAATCGTCATTATGTCCGTCAGTCTGAATATTGTATCCTACACCCACAATTACATGAATTTAGTTTTTAGGATTTAGGGTTTAGGGTTTAGGGTTTAGGGTTTAGGGTTTGGTGTGTATAGGGTCGTGACACTTGTGGTCTAAGTAAGACGGAGACTCATGAGTATGATGTTTATCGTCATACAATGACGATGCGTCATCGTGGGCAGAAGGCAATATGCGAGTGCCGTCGTCATAAGACGCAAGCAGCAGCAGCAGCAGCAGCAGCAGGAGCAGGAGGAGGAGGAGGAGGAGAGGATTATATAAATGATGGAGAAAAAGGACCTATTGAGGGTTTTGCTGCATGGGAGGTAACAAAGAAACAAAAACAAGAAAAAAAGGAAATAGAAGGAAATAACGCAAAGATGGCGCAAGGGTTAGGTGCAACATTAAAGATAGCACAATTATTAAGAGATAAGGCACCAGAGGCGCAGCAGCTGCTGCTGCAGCTGCAGCAGCAGCAGAATCCAGCTGCAGCAGCAGCAGCAGCAGCAGCAAATGCTGCAGCAGCAGCAAATCAAGCGGCTCCAACCCTTGCTGCTGCACAACTAGCACAAGCTGCTGTCTATCCTGCTGCTGCTGCTGCAGGCATGCAGCAGCAGATACCATTATCTGCTGCACAAGGATTCACTGCAGCAGCACCAACACCTGCTGCAGCATTAGTAGCACCTGCTGCAGCATTAGCAGCACCTGCACCAGCATTAGCAGCACCTGCTCCAGTATTAGCTGCACCCGCAGCAGCAACAATACCCGCAGCAGCAGCAATACCTGCAGCAGCAGCAATACCTGCAGCAGCACCAATACCTGCAGCAGCACCAATACCTGCGGCAGCAGCAATACCCGCAGCAGCAGCAGCAGCAGCACCTTTATCATCTCGCGCGCTGCTGCCACAAGGAGTTGTCTTTGGTGCATCTGCAGCAGAAGCAGCACCAGAAGGAACTCATGCTGCACTGCAGCAGCAGCAGCAAGACCTGGCCCAGCAGCAGCTGCTGCAGCAACAACTTGTTAGTCAGCAATTGATGCAACAGCATCTGCTGCAGCAGCAACTCCAACAGCAGCAGCAGCAGCAGCAGTTCTCTCCTGCTGCACCCAGCGCCACAAGCATTCGCGCCCTTTCGCTGCCGCAGCAGCAAACCAACTTTCTGCAGCAGCAAGACTTGCTGCAGCAACCGGATTTGCTGCAGCAACAGGATTTGCTGCAGCAGCAGAGCTTGCTGCCACAGCAGGACTTGCTACAACAGCAGCCAATCCCCGAGCAGCCACTCTCTCCTCTACCCCAGCAGCAGTTGCTGCAGCAGCAGCCAGTCCCCCAGCAACAGCTGATGCAGCAGCAGCCACTCCCTCACCAACAATTCGCTGACCCTCAGCTGCAGCAGCAGCAGCAGCAGCAACAGCAGCAGCCGCACCGGTACCACATGTTTACGAATGCGCAGCAGGCAGAGCAGCATCTGCAGCAACTATCGCTGCAGCAGCAGCTTCCTCAACAAAATATAGCATCTCTATCCCAGCAGCAGCCTATGTTGCAGCAACAGCAGCAGCAGCAACAGCCCGTGCTGCAGCAGCAGCAGCAATCTCTTTTACCTCTTCTTGGTAGTCTGAGCCCTTCTCAGGCAACAGACGTAGCATCACGTGCTGCTGCTGCAGTAGGTGCCTTTATCCGCAGCGGCAGCGGCAGCAGCAGCAGCAGCAGCAGCAGCAAGAAAGATATTGATTGGGTAGATAGGATAGCAGATAAGTTGCTGCAAGAAGGAAATAAAACACCAGCAGGTGCAGCAGTTAATAGAGCCTTTGATGACTTCCTCTCTGTTGCTCAGCGGGCATAAGCAGCAGCAGCAGCAGCAGCAGCAGCAGCAGGAAGGAGTAGCAGTTAATAGAGCCTTTGATGACTTCCTCTCTGTTGCTCAGCGGGCAATTCGTCGTCGTCGTGCAGCAGCAGCAGGAAGGAGTAGCAGTTAATAGAGCCTTTGATGACTTCCTCTCTGTTGCTCAGCGGGCATAAGCAGCAGCAGCAGCAGCCGCAGCAGCAGCAGCAGGAAGGAGTAGCAGTTAATAGAGCCTTGGATGACTTCCTCTCTGTTGCTCAGAGGACATACGCTGCTGCTGCTGCTGCTGATGCTGCTGCTGCTGCTGCTGCAAGGTGCAGCAGTTAATAGAGCCTTTGATGACTTCCTTTCTGTTGCTCAGAGGGCATACGCTACTGCAGCAGCAGCAGCAGCAAATAAGAGCATCGGCAGCAGCAGCAGCAAATAAGAGCCGCAGCAGCACATTACAGCTGCAGCAGCAAATAACGAGAGGTACAGCAAGGGAAGACCACAGTAGCAGACTGCCGCAACAGCAGCAAGCAGCAGCAGAATAGCAGCAGCAGCGGCAGCAGCAGCGACAGATGCGGATTTCCTTAAAGGGGAGAGCCGTTTGCTGGTTGCTGCTGCTGTCCCCATTAATTGTTGCAGGTTGCTTTTGCTGCAGCACAGGTGCAGCAGCAGCAGCAGCAGCAGAGCAGCAACAGCAGCAGGTTAAGGCGTAGGTATTGGAGCACTCTAGGTCTTTTTGTGCTCTTAATAATCCCTAAACCCTAATCCTGTAGTCCCTAAACCCTAAACCCTAAACCCTAAACCCTAAACCCTAAACCCTAGGAGTTCCTTTTGTTGCTGCTTAGCAGCATGTACAAAGAAGGTCTATAAGGTTTAAACCCCAACATGATTGGGGGTTCTTTTTTTTATTAACTTTAGCTAGCTAGCTAGCTAGCCAGCTAGCTAGATAGCTAGCTAGCTGTATGGCTAATTAGCTATGTGGCTAACTAGCTAGGTGGCTAACTAGCTAGGTGGCTAACTACGTGGCTAGCTAACTAGCTAGCTAGCTAGCTAGCTAGCTGTGTGGCTAGCTAATGGCCTGCATGCCATTTGGCCCCCGCCCCGCTAACGGCGGTGAGAGGCCGCCCTCCCAGTAGCTAGCTAGCCAGCTAGCTAGCTAACTAACTAACGAGCTGACTAGCTAAGTAGCTAGCTTGTATACCTGACTGGCTAGCTAGCTAGCTAGCTAGTTAGTTAGTTAGTTAGTTAGCTAGCTAGTTAGTTAGTTAGCTAGCTAGCTAGCTATTGAGGCTTTAGCTACTCAGGGGTAAGAGAGACAAAAGATGTATTTGTTTATTATTAATAAATAAAAAAAGAAGAAAAAAAAGAGAAAAAGGAGACACTTATAGGGAGGAAAAGGAGACAAAAGGAGACAGATAAAGGAGACAGATAGAGGAGAGACAGAAAGGAGACAAAAGGAGACAAAAGGAGGAGGAGGAGGCAATAGATAAGAAAAAGGAGACAATAAGGAAGAAAAAGGAGACAATTAATTGTTGTTAAAGAAATAAATGCATGCAAATAAAAAGCCCCATAATTTGTCTCCTTTTTGTCTCTTTTTTGTCTCCTTTTTGTCTCCTTTTTGTCTCCTTTTTTTTTGTTTTGTCCCTTTCTAGGTGTCTCCTTTTTGTCTCCTTTTTTTATTTATTTTTAACTCTTTATTTATATAATTAATTGTCTCCTTAATTGTTGCTGTATGCAATAAAAAAGGAAAAAAATAAGGCATTTAAATACCCAAACCCTAAACCCTAAACCCTAAACCCTTAAATACCTAAACCCTAAACCCTAAACCCTAAACCCTAAACCCTAAACATTGTTAGACTGTATCTAGACTGTATCTACTGCTGCTGTAGGTTTTAGTATAAGCCTGTTAAGGATTTATAGAAGCCTTGATGGTTTGAGGGTTTAGTGTTTATTTAGGGTTTAGGGTTTGTTTGAGGGTATGCGGGTTTGAGGGTTTAGGGTTTAGGGTTTAGGGCTTGATTGAGGGTTTAGGGCTTATAGGGTAATAAGGTATCAATAGACAGCAATAAAAAATCTGTTAAAACCCCACAACTTCTTATTAAGCTGCCTATACACCCCAATTATATAGTAATGAGGGAGCTGTAGTACTGCGGACCAGCTGCTGCTGCAGCCAACAGTAGCAGCTGGAGCAGCAGCAGCAGCAGCAGCAGCAGCGGCCCCAGCTGCTGCTGCTGGCTTCGGGTGTATGCAGCAATAAATAAATGTCTTCTTTTCTTTTGTTTCTTTGATAGGGAATAAACCCTAAAAAAGACAAACACGAGTAACGAGCAGCAGCAACAGCAGCAGCAGCAGCGGCAGCAGAAACAGCAGCAGCAGCAGCAGCAAACAAACGAGCTATGCTAATTAGACCTTCTACTGGTCTATTATTGTTTCTTCTTTTTGTATTTACTGCCTATACACCTGAGTCTTCTTGCTGCAGCAGCAGCAACTGCAGCACAAATATCCTTAAGTTCCCGCCGCGGCTGTCTGCTCCTGTTGCTGCTGCTGCTGCTGCTGCACTGGGGCCCCACAGCAGCAACAGGAACACTATTTGCATGGCAGCAGCAGCAAAACTGCTGACTAAAACATTTAGGTAGGCTATTTATTACTGCTGCTCCTGTTGCTGCTGCTGTTGCTGCTGCTGTCGCGGTGCTCGCGGAGGCCGCCTGCTGCTGTTGCTGCTGTTGCTGTTGCTGTTGCTGTTGTTGTTGTTGCTGCTGCTGCTGCAGAGAGGCAGCAGCAACACAAACTCCTACACTATTAGAGACTAAGGAAGACACCAGGATTATGTGTGGTCATCAGTCGTACCACGAAACTGCTGCTGCTGCTGCTATTGTTGCTGCTGTTTCTGCTGCTGCTGCTGCTGCTGCTGCTGCTGCTGCAGAACTTCTTCCCCTGTTCGCATCCCAATACCTTTCTTCATCCCTTCCCCCACTGGGCGTTTCATCAGCAGCAGCAGCAACAGCAGCAGCAAGAGCAGCAGCAACAACAGCAGCAACAACAGCAACAGCAGCAACAGCAGCAAGACCACCATAGATTCCTTCCTGTTTCGTCGTCGTGTATCAAGGATGAGTACCACACCAAGCAGCAGCAGCAGCAGCAGCAGCAGCAGCAGCAGCAGCAATGAAGGGAAGCCAAGATTTGTTGTAGGGTCTGATTGGCGGCCACCAACAAGAGAAGGAAAAAGGATAACAGGTCTTCGTGTTAATAATTCATTAACAGGAGGAAAGACAGAATTTATACCCCAAGTAAACCCTAAACCCTAAACCCTAAACCCTAATTTAGGGTTTACATCGATATATGGTTGTGTCTTTGTTTGGGGTGATTGATGGATTATTTGTGCTCGTATAAATTGTCTATTCATTCCTGTTGCTGCTGCACCAACAGCAGCAGCAACAGCAGCAGCAACAGCAGCAGCAGCAGCAGCAGCAGCAAGTATCAATTGACTCCCCCCCCG